AGGAAAAAGTGCCTCTACCTCGAACCGAAAGGAACGACCCCATGCAGTTCTCCGTTGAGAAAAACATGCACTCGATTTTAGTAGAATGGCAGTGCAAACTTTCCCTAAGTTTTCCGATGCTGTAAAGTACGCACTGACATTGTGTATGAATCCATGTTTTGGCACACACAAGATGAGAAACGTTTGTGTTTAAATTACATTATTATTTCCGCCTTGTCTTTCCATTGCGAGCGACCTCATCTTTAATTCAGAGAAAAAAAATGAGGAGTAAAAAAAGCTTATTTTAAGAACTCTAATTCTAGATATATATATATATATATATGTATCAATATAGTTTATACAACAGCTATCTTTTCATGCTTAATTGTTTATTGAGCATGCGATTTATACCGCATCGCGAGATTGGAATTCCGGCGATAATTGGTACGAAAATTGATTCTCGATGCACTTCTGCAATTTTATTTGTTAATAATTGTTAACAATATTCAAGTTAGTTATGACCTAAGAAGCTTTATGAAGTAAATTAGCTTCGTTGTTCTTTCGATAATCTTATAATTTTAAAGTATTTATTATCGGTTTACGGTAAATCTATTTTCGAGACTAATAATCTCCCGATCGTTAAGTGTGCGTTACATGTTTTTTTCAAGAAGAATAAGTAGACTATGACTTATACGTTTACACTGCTCGATTTACGCCGAAGTTATAACATTGATGTTATAAAATTGGCCAATCATAGCTATTCCTCCGAAGAACGGAATAACTGTGATTGGCCAGTTTCATAATATTGATGTAACTTTGGCGTAAATCGAGTCATGTATAATATCGCGTATATCTATAGATATATGCAACGAAATGTATAGATGTATATTTTATACTTATTTGCACTTATTTATATTTATTTATTTAAAAATCAAATTTTGTAATAATAAATTATGAACTAAGTTCAAAATGCTTATTGCTACACATACATTTTATATAAAAAATAAACAATGTAATTGTAATAAACAATGAAACAGACGTTTTTTTAAAATCAATTCTGTCAAATCAATGTTAACAAAGATTAATTATTTTGTACGGTACGTAATTCGAACGGCAGTTAAAAATATATAAATTAAGTCATTAAATCGCTCGAAAATCTTAACTCGGATATAAGTCACAATAGATAGGAGGTCAACAATAGTAATAACCATATATATAATTTAAATAAAATGTCAATCTTTTCATCAATCTGTGTAAAATAAATAAAATTATGCTCATCCTGTAGTCAATTCGTAATCAGTTATGGTTAAGGAGGAATCGGCACAATCTCGACATTAAATTTTAAATCTCGACATACAAAATTTGCTTTTTTTATATAGATAGTTGGTTATAAAAAGAACTTATTTATTTATCTATTATTAATAGAATTAATGTAAATGATATATTTAGAAATTATGTATGGTATTTTTACATGTCGATCTTTCTTTTCTCTTATGTACATACGAAAATACACATACATAAATGTGACTATCAATCCAGGTAGCCAAGCAAATAGAAACAGATTTTATAAAATGATCGCAAATACAAATTTTTTTTCAACAGTACCAACAGAATTACAATAAAATTTGCTAGCGAAATACGAAGACGACAGAGCGAATGCAGAGTTCGAGCAAAATCTATCATTTCGTAATTACTAAAATGGAACATATCATTTAAATGATTGAATGACAAAATAGCAGAGTCTGCTTGGTTTTTGTTAGAACATTAGCTTAATGCGGAAGCAGTGGATACTATAATCCAGGTCTGTCCAATTTGAGTTCCAGCTAAAATGCAAAGCCATCGATGTAAAAAAATGTGGGTAAAATTTCAGGAACTGTAAAGTATTGATATGCATTTAAGCAACGCTTATCAAACAGTTATTTATAGTTCCTAAAATCTTTTGAATTTTTTTACGTCGCTTTGCGTTTTAGTTCCGGAACTCAAACTGGACAGGCTTGCTACAATCTGTCGAAATATTCTTCTACTCAAATCCGTTGATAAACTGCTAACGTACTGCAGCTAACATTGCTTCCTGGAAATTTCTGACATTCCAGACATTCGTCGCAGTAGCGCGACGACAGACTTAAATTAATTGTTTGTTAAAGAGTCGAGATATCAGGGATGGCAAGATAATGGGATGGCGATGAGTTAACGAAGGGAACAAGAAAATCATCAAGGATTTCACGAATGATCGCACGAATTATCCTTCCTCTGTACTTATAATAAGGGTCAGCGATTACCGAGCTGACCAACGAGGCGCGCATATTGCGCAACGTCCACGGAAATAAATCTAGGATAGGCTGCTGGGAACGTCGTGGACCGTTGCCTTCTATTTCACCGATCCGCCTTCTCCTCTCCCCTCCCCCTTTACGTCCGACCGTCCCCCTCGTAACATCTTCCGGCCATTTTCATCGCGCGTCCTCCGAGCACCGCCATGACGATCGCGTCCGGCAAAGCGACGATCGTGCACCTTTGCGAGAATCGACGCCGGCCGGGCCAGGTCGAGCCGATCAAGAGAGACCTCGGATGACCTCGGATCGACCTGGGACAATTAACGAATCGTAATCCCGCGTCACGCTCGACGGACGTTCGTCCGTCGAGCATCGGTGTCGAGGAAAAAGCGCGTCTATTACGCGTCGGATGCCGGGAACGGAACCCGGAGCGTCATCGCCCGAGCTCTCGTAGACCATCCACTCTTCCGCGTTTCATCGCTGGCGCCCTCAGCTGACGCGCGTCTTCGGCTTTCTTCGCATGCGCCGTCAACGAATGTTACCGGCCTGCAATGCAACTCGTACACGGACTCGGCTGTAACATCGACATCGAAATCGTTCTACTTGATACGCAAGCCGGCGCTCTTTACAAACGACAAGAATAGGACATGCGGTTACACAGCAGTTAGGACAATAATGGTCGTATCCTTTTGTACTCCGTTACCGTTGCGAGCTTGAAGACGAACTTTGCAAATGTCTACCGCTGGCAAAACGACATGCTCCACTTTGTGGAGCCACTTTGTCGGACGCCGGCATTTCTCGACGCGCGCAGACCCTCCACTCGCCGTGTGTCGTCACCGGGCGACTCAGCTGACGCAAAATGGCCGACCAGCACTGACAGCTGAAGTGGAAAGCTCGGCTCCTCTCTGAGAAAACGCGACGCGGAGCGCGGCGGAGATCGTTTCGACGCTCGATGCGCGTGCAGGTAATTCCTCGTGGCGAACTCTCGCCGAAATATGACGTATTTCATGGGGAACACAACACAGTATGGTATCGCCGGGATGAGGGAGTGGAGGGGTGGGCGGCGCGACGATGGGAACGTCTCGCGGAGCGAGGACTTCGTCCCGCGCAACGGCGATCGGTCGTTCGCGTCGGTTTCGTCACCGGGCTTCTCAGCTGACGGCGAAAAACAACCGTCCGCAAGGCGTGCATAGCGTCGGTAACAGCTGATCGCCGCCATGACGGATTAAAATTAAAAGAACCGTCCATGCAGTCCATGCACCCTCTATCGTTGCCTCGTCCAAACCGACCCGACGAAGAAAGCGATCGTGAGAGCGTATTCTCGAGAGATACGCGGGCGTGTCAAGTCGGCGTCCGTCGCTTCGCAGAAACGCCGGGAACGCCGAGTACGCAAGCCCGGAGTATGGAGCTTGGCGCAGGGACGAGAGAGAGAGAAAGAGAGAGAGAGTAAGAAGGGAGGGGGGAAAGCGTGGTAGAGTGGAGAGTCTGAGCGAGCAGGCGCTCTTTGCCTAGGCTTCTAAGCCTGCGATTTTTTCCCGTTCGTCTCGTTGTCCGGACGGCGGGCCAATCGGAGTAAGTAGGTCAGCGCGAGCGGCCAATCGGCGCTCGAGGCCGGGTCACGTGGGTTTGTTGTTATCTATCAGCTGTTTTTCCCGGACGGCCGGCCGGCGCAGTGAAAGCCGCTTGGCAGTCTGTCCTCAGTCCCTCCCGGTCGCTCAGCTGTGCGTCACATGTCGGGCGCCGCGAGTCCTTCTCCTGTGCGGATCGCTATTAAACGTACGAGTCTAACGATCCGGCTAGGACGCCGTCTACCATCGGACCCCCGTCTAACGTCGGCGCGCGTTAGCCACGTATTATTATGCTGTCAGTCGTGTGCACGCCAACGCATCGCCACGAATCGATCACGAAGTGCCTCGAATATGCGGACGGCGTGACGAACGCGGGCGACGGTGCACGCCGCTTTGTTGATACGCTGAGTTCTGTGTTCAGGCCACGGAGGCCGCCGCGCGCTTAAAGATCCTCGTCGTACATACAGGGATCACCCTATTGCCCTACTCCCCCTCCCCTGCGACTTTTAAACACACTGCCACCACCGTCGGTGGCAGGTATATAACGGTGTGATTGGTACGTGACGTGAAGGGCTGCTGGTCGTTACGATGACCTAAAGGCGAGATAAGAAAGAAAGCGAGCTTTCTTAGGAATTCGCTCGCGCGGCTCGACGTGCTCGCGTTCAAAAGGGGATCTTCATCTTTCGGGAGTGCGCGTCGTCAACCGTCGCGTTTTACGTCGCGTTTGGAATTTTAAACTTTTAAACGTGTATCCCTGCGTGCTCTGTGAATCGCGTTCGCTGTGCATTTTCGACAATTCCACCAATTCGTCTCTCTTCGAACACTGTCGAATCGAGAGAGAAAGAGATAGAGCGTTCGAAAACGTGTCGCAGGACAGGGACAGTGGAAACGAGTGTGTCGAGTGGACAGGAGCAAGTACGTCAAGGACAGGAGTGTAAAGTGTAAAGTTGGTCGTGTGAATGTTTCGTGTCGCGTTGCGCGTTCAACGAGTGCCTCGCACAACGGGACTCCGCGCTCGAAAACGATCGATGAGAACGATCGAATGATTCTCCGCTACGAAGAAGAAGAAGAAGAAGAAGAAGAGAGAGAGAAAGAGAGAAAGAGAAAGGGAGTGAGGGACTGGAATTGTTCTGATTTGCGCGAAACCGAGTGATATCGCGTCGCCTGGTAGAAGCAACGAATAATGTCGACGGGCAAGAGGCTGGCAAAGCGCAGCATAATCGGCACCAGGGTGTGCGCTCCCGGTCAAGACGGCAAAGCGGTCCACGGGCACGAGTAAGACTCTGTACTCCGTACGCTTCGACATCACCGGCGGCAGTCCGCCGAGTCCGAAGGAGTACACCGACCGCGATCTCATCGGACCGGGTTTCGGTTCCGTCACTGGCGCGCGATTGGTACCCGGTCAGAAGGTTTATCTGACGTTCAACGGTAGGGAGATTCACGCGGAGGTCACGGAGCATCGCCAGCATCTCGACGAGGTGGACGTGGTCATTGCCCCGAACGGGCAAGAGGTGAGTCCGTCGACAACTTACATTCTGCGTATATGCGTACATAATATATATGTGTGTGTGTGTGTGTGGGTGTGTGTGTGTCGCCAACTTCTGATCGCCGCGCGGACGCACACGTGCGACAAGTGGTCAACTTTATTGGTGTCACTCGCGTGAAACTGTATGTCGTTAAACTGAAATTCTAAATTGCAAACTCAATTAGATTTGCGTATACATATATATATATATATATATATATATATATATATATCAAACAATCTAGTTATCGATTTGTTGTATATATAATACATACATACATACATATTCTAAAACTTTTGGAATAAATCTTACCTTGAAGATTGAGAATTGAGCCAATGTTTTTTAAGACTGGCTCAATTTTGACTCTTCAGAGTGTGAAATTCCACTTGAAAAAATTTAGAGACTACATATATGTACCGAATCAATGATAAACATTGTTCGCGTGACTATTTCGTTATCGTAGATGTATTATAAATTGAGTGTTGAAAGACTTCACGGTATTTGCCAAAGTTTAAAAGATCTATAGACATCTTGGGAGACAGTGAAATTGCATGAGCGCCAATTTTCTCGATGAAAAGTACTGGTTTTCTCTTAGTTATGCTAACTTCAATCCACATGACACGCGACGTTCTTAAAAACCGTAATTCTTATTACGTGGACGTAATAAGAATAGACTGTGCATTTCTATGAAGTTGTCTCTATTTGAAAAGAGTGAAGTAACTTGATTTATATCGTTTTCTTTCTTTTTAAAATAGTTAGACAGAGATGCTGAGAGATATTTCAATTTTTTTTAATGGAGCACAAGGATTGTGTATCCTGATACAAGATGAAAATGACAAAAGTGAACAAGTTTATTAAGTATTGAACAATGAAGTCATAAGTATTCTATAAGGTTTTCACAAAACTGGTAATCAGGGAAAAGTTAAAAAATTTTACAGATTTGGGAAATTAAAATTCTTGGCTTTAAAGAAGTTTAATATACATACCTAACATCACACCTACGTAATTTACATTGCTCTGTAAATCTCTCAACAAAATGTTTAACAATTTCCAAACCAGGAGATAAAAATATAAAAAATATCAAAAAATTATTGAAAATTAGGAAAAAAATTAGATAAAATTTTGCCTGGAAATTAGGGAAAAGTTATAGAATTTTAGGATAAGGGATTTATGTGATAACCGTAATTCTAATTAATTAAATTTTTCTAAAAACTATTATAATTTTCACCTCGTTTCAAGATACACAATCGACCTCCAAATGCAAAGTTCAAGGAATACTCAGAATCTATAATATATATCTCTTACGTCTATGTTAAAAATTGAAAGCTACGCAGTTCCAGCATCGAGTACGCGCTTCGATGAGAGAATCGAAAGTCGCGGATAATACAAAACAAACTTGGCGATAATAAAACAACGTTTTCTTTCGCCTGGGGAAGCATTAATTCGAAAGTAAAAGCCTCGCGACTTCGCGCGACTTCACGCGGCGTCTCGCGGCGCCGGTTATAGACATCGCGTCGACGTGATTTGGATATTCTTGGCGCGTAACGGGTTAACGATCCTTAAGAAGATTAACGAATCGAAGGCGTAATACCGGGCGTACTCGCAGCGCGTACGAGATATGGCGTCATATCCCGGGACTCTCGCTAGCATGAAAGACGCAGGCACAACGCGCTTGCGCGCACGCTAACCGTCTGTAAATCGCACGACGATCGTGCGTATATACGCTCGGCTCCTCCGGAGTGAAGTTGTATACACGCTCGTTCAACGACAGATTCGAGTCACAGAATCCGAGCGCGATCTAATTTCGTTAGGTGATACAGTCCCGCCGCGACGAAACGAACGTTTCGACATCGACAATTTATGCCCGTTTCTATCAACGTAGATTAACTTCAATCATCTCGGCGCTCAACTTGCTCTTTATTTTTTTCTAATTCTTTGAGCTAGAGATAAAGAGTTACTCTGGATCTATTCTCTAAAGTCTTTGGAGTAGAATCTAATTCTAAAGAGTGACAAAGAGTGACAATTGTGATAGGATGAAGGAGTGGCTCGAGTGTCAATTTTTGAGATTGAAATTTCACTCTTTAGAGTTAGGTTTCATTTCAAAGATTTTAAAAAGTAGAAATTCTATAACAGAGTCTGGTCGCAAGATGACAGAAATTTTTTTGTTGACCCGTCATTTTTGTCAACTTCAGTAAATTAGAATGAATAAGATAATATTAAAAAGTTCAAATGAGAATGCATATATAAAAAGAAGTAGTTTTTCAATTTTTGCTTTGTGACAAAATTTCTCGTGACCAGATTTTCTTACAGGGTCTGTAGTGTGTTTAATCAAGATTAGAAGTAAACACTGCATTGGTAAAAGCGAGCATTTAAACGTGCCGATCCGAAGGCGACGCTTTAAAGACGCTCAGAAATCTGATCGAATCCATACGCGCGGTACATAAAAGCGCTTTATGTCCCGGCGAACGCGACATCCCGGGCGACGACGCCGGATAAAGATACGCGGGCTATTAAAAAGAAAGAAGAATCGTGAAACACGTCGCGGCCAACGGGAACGCCGATGCGCGCGTGTGTCGTTAATCAGAAAATTTAATTTTCGTGACCCCGTTCCTAAAGTGGACGATCGAGTGGCTTGCCCCATTTACGCGGTGCGCATGAGCACGATCCTCCTTCTCTCTTTTTCCCTCTTCTCCTCCTCCTCTTGCGCTGACGGGATAGATGACGGTACGGAGGAAGGGAAAAGCTTCACCTCGTCACGCGTTGCATCCCAATTCGAGCGCGCGTTGGTAGAACGCCGGCTCCGTCACCGGAGAATCCAACCGCCGCCACCTTTAACCCTGTTTCGCCTCTCGCCTTCCACCTTCGGAAAGTCTCGCTTCCCGCGATAGAAAATTAGGAAGATGACAACGCCGAGCAAATTTCTACTCGATATTTGAAAGTTTATATTTCTCCATCGAAAAATGATTAATGATAGAAAGTGACAAATATAATTTGATAACTCAAATTGTACTTTAATGTATTTATCGCCTCAGAATCTTTTCTTTAATCATCATTTATCATTTTTGTTTGCAACCTTGTTTATTCTAAATTAACAAAAAATAATGCCAATTTTGATAAGTATAAATTCTTGGAATGTAAATAATTTGTTTCTCTCTTTTTTAAACAAAGATGTATGCTATTTTGAAATACAGTAACCGTTTAAGTTTTTTCTAGTTTTTTATTAAAGTTAATAAAAGTACAGAGATTATTAAAATCTCCTTTAATCTAAACTGCGTTATATTGTAGCAGTTAATGACGAAATTATTTTATGAAATTAATATAGTGATAACACAATTGATTGGATAATATAAAATGAATCGATGTAATGAAAGTAGAGATTTTTTTAGAACAATATACTATATGTCGCGTTATCGATATCCGATGTTGCCGTGTCGAATACAGTGAATTTACGAAGACGGGCCAAGAAACGTCTCGCCACGGACTTGAGACGGTAAAATTGAAAGTCGATAAGCGGACGGGTTAACGAGTGGGTTAACAGAAGGAAATGCTTCTCGTGTCGTTGACGTCACACGATGTCGTATACGTATACGATGCGCGATCCGTCAATTTTCTCGCCGACTCGAATTACGCGGTGCCATTTTTGCACGCTCGCGAAATTGCAGCGCAAGTATATACCGCGATAAATGTCGCTTAACACAAGAAGAATCAATTATATAAAGAACAAAAATTTCCAACAATTAATGTAATTATTTTACACTATTTACTTGTGCAGTATCACATTCTCTACTAACATGCAGTAATAATGTATTATTTCATAAATAATATGTACCATAAACGATGATTTCTGATAATAAATTAGCGATAATAATTTTTTAATAAAATCAATATGATATTTGCGACGTTTAACGAGGAAAGCTCAGTATAATAATTCATAGATTAACATAATTCTCTTCTTAATCCCCGTTTACAAAGTAATACTCGCCAATCTTTAACTACATCCAAAGTTTGTACACTCATCCATTGGAATTTCCCAAGATTGAAGGGAGGGAAGGGATTTATTTTTTCTCCCCTAGGTGCAATACGTACACATACAATGCCATACACTCGGTGAAGCATGCCGGAAAAATACACATAGTGTATTCCTCGCGATACCGCTACGTGGGCGCGGTAAGATTCATAATGAGAGGCACTGCGACCGGCGCCGCGTGAGCGAGCGTGCGTGCGTGCGTGAGCGTGCGTGAGCGTGCGTGCGAGCGCGGCTCTATTGCGCGCGCGAAGCGGATACGGTAGTACTCGCCGGTGCACCGGCTACCGGGGTGATCCCACGTGGAACGTATTAACGCAATATCTCTGTACCTCCGTTAGGCAGCTCAGGCGTGACCAGCGCGCGGCGGCTCGGCTCCATTTCGCAGAAACCGCGGTTGCGCCGTGGAAAAACGAACCGGATCCGCGCAGTAGATGCCGCGCGCGCGTCCGGTCTCTCGCGACTCTTATTGTATCTCCCCCCTCTCTTCCGCTCCACCCTCCCCTCCCCCGCCCATCCGATTGTAGCACGACGCGGTGCTGCTTCGACGATCGCTTCGACCGACCGTTAGCGCGTCTATGATTTACGATCGAATTCCTGCGACAAATGCGTGATATTTTGTGCGTAGTATAACATCGCGTGGAGGCCGCTATTACCGATATCCGGCTGTGATTTTTGTATCGAACGCGAAGCATCGTATATCGTGAATTTTTTTTTCCTCTCTTCTTCTTCTTCTTTCTTTTTTCTCCTTTACGAAATCTCACGATCTTTCGAATCGTATTTCCGTTACATGCACAAATGTAAACGCACGATTGCTGCGTGAACCAATTTCCCGGGGAATCGTGAGAGGTTTTAATGTCCCGGCTGCGTCGACGTCTGTAACTCTAATCGCGAGGCGCCGCGATTAATGGCCCGATAGAAATGCCGAAGGCGCAGTAACGATCTTTCAAACAATTCGTAG